ATGACAGACGTAGAAAACATAAACATGAATTAAAAAAGGAAAAAATAAATAAATCAGAAGACATGAATGAAATAGAAAAAAAAAAAAGAGACTAACTCATGAAAGCATGTTTCATAACCATTGAAAAAACTGCAAACCCCACCAAAGACACAGCTTCACAGTTCACTATAAAGCTAGGATCATTGATAGATGCATATCCGCCGGAGTGCGCATAAAAAACCTCCGCCAATCCTTATATTTGAATAGTGTCAATGCCTTAACATATTACACTGATGGTATGTCTCCCAACTGAAGTAGGGCATCTTGACATGCGTCAAGGGAATAGCCATCACTACCCGCACTTACAGCCTCCGTGTCTATTGATCGTGCACGAGACTATTCCGTCTTCGCTAATACATAAGTAGTGAAAGTCATGCAAACATCATCAAAGCCACTTGACCGTGACTTTTTGGAACGACCGCTGCCACTCTGGCTATGGCCCTTCCTTTGACTTTTGCCCTTATCTGTTTCCATGTACTCATTCCACACAAATCAACAGGAATGGCATCAGCCGCATTGTTACCTCTAGCTCCAAGCAACCAAAATTTGTTAAGCATATCGTCCTTTTTATCGGAGTCAAGAGCCCCTTGTGTGGATGCATGAGCCAAGGCCCTTGTCGCACAGCAGTGTTCAACAATTTCGGCCATTTCATGCAAATATACTCAAATCCTTTAGTCCTGAATTTCTTTACATTTTTTGATGCCTACCTCCAATTAGAAAATATGAACATAAGTGTATGGTACACGTGACAACATTTTACAAATAAATCTAAATAATAGGGAACATGTCAATATGATACCTTATCCCAAAATTCATTAGGTGCAATAACTATGCCTACAATAGGATCCCTTCTAAGACCAGTCTGTGCCTGAAGCCGCTTGAAAGTTAAGTAATCATCTTTGAGTCGCTGAATTTTTGTTTGACTTGATTTGGTGTGTATCGGAACCCATTGCAAAATGGGTCCAATGCCTCGGCGTCCAGACGGTACTACGGTCTTTTGATTGGTTTTTTTGCACCTCGTCTCTCAACATGTTAATAAGCCATAACTCAATTCTAGAGCTCCACATTTTTGTGTCTTGATTGTCATCTAAATTGTTGGTATCCATCTAACACAGAATTTATATTAAACTAAGCCTAGGCAAGAAATTGAAAAATAGAACACTTTCTACAACTTCTTCATAACCCCTAAGAAACTTGTTTCGATTGAACCTCATCCACCACTAAAAAGGCAAGAAAATTATACAGAATTTCAAATATGATAAATGCAGATTAATTACAACAAAGCTGTGCTGGGAAATCGAAATTTACATATGATAAATGCAGATTGATAATTTAAATATGATAAATGAAGATTAATCACAACAAAATTTCAAGAGCGCTGGGAAATCGAAATTTAAACATTCTTATAAGAAAGCAAAAGAAGAAACCAAAAGCAAAACAAGAAGCATCTAAACCAAAACAGACGGCAGTTGACCGGCCAGAAGTTCGGGTGGATGACCGACTAGAAGTCCTGGTGAACGACCGGCTCAGCCAATTTTTGCCCAGATTAGAGCTAACCCATTACACTTCTCAACTATTCCATAACAGATCGACTAAAGGACATATATACCACAGGAGCAGAAGTTGAATAATTGTCACCGGTGACGGAGTGGGTACAACAGATTGATCTACGTTGCTTCGGACGCCCTTTGATTCGAGAAAAGGCTTCACAACTTTGACCAACAATAGACACATTTCGAAAGTAAGCACAGAATCAATAAGTTGCAGAACCCATATATATTTTTATACAAAAATTTATGAAACTATACATCTTTGTTGTTGCTGTTTCATTTCTTGTAAGGTGAATCGACCACAATTCACAAACTGACAGTCACTTGATTTGTGGGAGCTCGTCGATGCCAATTTATGGGTGGGAAGGAATCGGTTCCCAGGCATTGTCTGGATTTGAAGGTTAGAGATTCGTTCAAAAAGAGGAGGAAGTAATTGAAGAGCTGCAGTTCACCCGTGAAGCATCTTCAGCTTTGTTCTTCTTTGGCACGTGAACCTTTTTAGAATGGAGAAGACGAATATGAGCTTGTGTACGAACATGTGAGAGTTTGGCTTGCAAACTATTGCCAAACGTGAATCAAAAGTGTGTTTTGAAAACTGTGGTAGTGTTAATTTTTGAACACTCTATCCAAACATAGGGTTCAGGGGAAGGGGTGGAATCAAATTTCAAAAGCTTGTCCAAACACAGCCTTAGATTTGAAAAGTATATATATATATATATATATATTTAGTATATGGTTCAATTTGTTCTTCGACTCTATTCTAGAATGGAGAGGATTTTTTAGACTCATGGAGCCTATTACAGGTCCCGTTTTAATGATCTGAATAGTTCATTTTTTCAGAATTTGCGTGTATATTATTCTTAAAAAAAAAAATAAAGTCGATTTGATATTCGTAACCCTTCGTTTTATAGAATTTGTATTAAAAAAATAACAGTTAATGTGTTGTAAAAACAGACTATTCATTTTTTTGGGTACAAAATTAGATAAAATTAAAGAGTTATGAATATCGAATGGACTTAATTTTTTTATGAATAATATACACATAGGGCCCAATAAAATAAATAATTAAGATTATCAAAATGGGGCCCATAATAGACCTCGTCACACCAAATAGTATTCTCCAATCCAGATTAGGACTAGAGAGAAGTCTTACCCGTTATAAATTAAAATATATGTAGTTCGGTTTACTTGTAGTTTTAACTAAAAAATGAAACCATCTTAATCAAGATGGATAAAATCGAGATTCTAAATAGAATTGTTTAGGGAGACTTATGAATAGATAAAAAATGTAAGATTTTACTTTTAATACAAAATAAAATAAAAAATTATCGATAATGATAACATATATTACCCAATTTTAAAATCATTATAAAATATTGATATTATGCATTTTCTATGTAAATGTAAATTAAAGAAAAATACTTGGAGAGAAGATTGTTAGTCAATTTTATGTTGATATAATACACATATACATAAATATATAAGAAAAAAATAATTTGTTTTTAATAGGATCGAAATTGTAGTAAAATCGAAATCGTAAAGTGATTTTCAATATTTTATAATTAAGATCATAGTCACATTAAGATCCTACACAATTTAAGATCTTAATACGAATATCTAAATCGTTTAGCCTAATTGAAATCTTATACGATTCTACGATTTGGAGATTAAGATTCTGATAATCATGATTTCAGCATAAAACTTGGGCTAATTTCACATCAGTATATGTTTCAAAAAATATTTTCAAATTAATGGTAAATTTTACAAATATATATATATATATATATATATATATATAATTTTTCATGAATTTATAATAAATTTTTAAAAATACACCCGTCATGTAATTTTCGCTAGAACTTAACTATTGTATTTAAAAAAAAAAGGGTTAGTATCCCTGTACTTTTATTAAAATTTCACTTTAGTTGCTTTACTTTTAATTGTAATGGTCAATTCATACACTTTAAGTCAAGTTGTAATCTGACACTTCTATCTATCTACCGTTAACAAAGTTGACTGAGCTTATCATTTGAAGCACATGAGACTTTTTCGTTGTCTCATTAGTCTAAAATCTCACTTTAATTATTGTATTTTTATCAAAATCTCATTTTAATCCATCAACTTTCAATTTCTGTCAGCTTTGTTAACAGTAAATGAACGGAAGTATGAGATTGAAATTTAATTTAAAGTGTAGGAAGTTAACTATTATAATTGAAAGTGAATGAAACAAAATGAGATTTTCTGTGAATATTTAGGGATACCAAGGCTCCGTTTATTTCTATGTAAAATATTTTACATAATGTTTTTTTAAAAAAATTGATTTTACACAGAAAAAATATTTTTATTTTTATTTTTTGGGGTTTGGTTGATACTTGAAGTAACAATATTTTATTGTCTAAAAGAGAAATTTTGATTCAATAAATTATCAATTATAACTTTTTAATGAGTTAAGATATTTATTTGAAAATGCTAAATGTGTTGAAAAGGTAGTGAGTGGAAATCAACTTTATAAAAATTTACTTATAAAATTTTTAAAAGTAAATCATTTTTTGAAAAGTGATACAAAAATACTTTCCTTAAAATATATCTGCTTACTTTTTATTTAACAAAAAAATAAAAAATAAATAAAAGATTTTATATCAAAATAAACGGATAATTTATTTAAAAATGAGTTGGGTCATCGGGTTTTTTTTAGGGGTGAGCATGGTCCGGATTGGACCGGATTGGGATAAAACCATGACCAATCCGTTATTTACGGTTCCTAAAAAATTGGAACCAATCCAATCCGTTTAAATCATGGAACCAATCCGAACCAATCCATTTAAATACGGATTGGATCGGTTTAAGACCACGGATTCACATAATTAAATAACAAAAATATATATATAACACTTGAATTTCATAAAAATATAAACATAGCGCTATATTAGTTCCATAATAGCAACATGTTTTTCTATAATAATGACATACTGTTCTAGAATTTAAACAACCATAAGAAAACTGGTTTCACCATAAGTATTTAGACCATTGCAAATTAAAACTTAAAACTAACAAACAAAAGTAATAAAAGAAGATATTATACGATTTTAGGTTTGAGTTTAGATTTTACATAGAATAAGAAAAGATACTATGGGGGAGGATGTATAATAAAAATATAGACTATTTGTATACGGTCCGGATCGGTTCCAATCCGGAACCGTGGGATTCAATCCGGAACCAATCCGTGAATTACGGATTTTTAATTATTCAATCCGGAACCAAACCACGGATTCAAAAAACCAATCCAAACCTATCGGATTGAACTGGACTGGATCGGATTACGAATTTCACGGAATCCTTGCTCAGCCCTAATTTTTTTGGGGTTTGATTTGGATTTGATCTCTTGTGCACGAACTAGGGTTTTCCAAAGTACTCCGAGCCTCTGTATAAAAGCCCAAATATGATTTAGGGCAGAGAGATCTCAAAGCCGTCTTCTTCTTCTTCTCTCCCGAAGTGTTTGCCAAAATTCCATCTAGGGTTAGGGTTTCAGAGAGAGAGATAGAGAGAGAGAGAGATGGGAGTGTTCACATTTGTGTGCAGGAGCTCCGGCGACGAGTGGAGCGCGAAGCAGCTCTCAGGCGACCTTGAGGCCTCGGCCGGGTCCACATACGAGTTGCAGAGGAAACTTGTTCAGGCCTCTCTCTCCTCCGATTCCTCCGGCGGTGTTCAGTCTTCTTTCTCTCTCATCACTCCCTCTTCCGCTGTTTTCCAGGTCTGATTCTCTTATTTAACTCTTGTTTGTTTTCCTAGAAAATTGAAAGACAGTATAATCGTTAAAATATATAGCTTGATTACGTTAGATCTGTATCGCATTCGAAGGATTTTTTTAGTATAATCTGGTTTTATATAGTTTTGATTTGTTTCTGATTATTTCGATCCATATATATACACAATACTTGATGATTATTTGTAAAGTTTTGACAGTTGCTGGCTTTGAAATCTGTGAATCTTTGTTATAAAGGAACCTCGTCATTAAGAACAGATTATAAGTTTATGCTTTGTTTATTATGCAGGATTTAATTGTTTAAAAATTCTACAAGACTTATTTGAAGCATTTATCAGAATATATATACATATATGTTTCAACAAATCCACTGAAAACTTTTCAAGTATTGGATTTCATCTGTGGAGGAATTATTCACGTGATAATATATATTTCAATGAGTGCTCTATTTAAAGACTAGGTAAGACATACTTTATTGTATGTAGGTGATTAGCTTCTAGAAAAAATACCTCTTTCCACCTTAAATTTATGTTTCTAAGACTGTCTCCACCCCTTAACCGACTTTTTCATCAAATTTGATTCCAAATTTGAGGAAAAAACTTGATTTGATATGAACTACATCAATTCTTTCATCAAATTATTTAAAAAAATTCCCCTCTTATCCCAAGTTTTCGTTTTCATCAAAAATTTGATGTGAAAAAAAATCATCTCCAATGTTTCATTTTTTTAATTTTCATTAAAAAATTTGATGAATTCTCAATTTGATGAAAAATATGACCCTCTCTTGATTGGATTAAAGAATTGGAGATAAATTTTTGAACATTTTTTTTTAATATCAAATTTAAATTTGATGAAAGAAAAGGTGAATGATTGGAGATGCTCTAATGAGGATAGAAATAGGTGGCCTTAATACTTGATTGATTTTGTTGATACTTTCAAGTGACTGAATGTTGGACAGTATATATCAATTTGCGTGCTCCCTAAATTGTTATGAGGGAAGTGAATAACCTTTTTTTTTTTTTTTTGTGTGTGATTTTTTTTCTCATAAATTTGTCAAGGAAATTGATGGGACAATATTTTGGAACTTGGTTTTCTGTTCTGGTAATAATAAACATATTAATATGGTGCTATTTCATATTATCCCTTCATCAAAGAACTCTACTTTCTACATCAAAAAAAGAAAAGAAAAGAACTCTACCTTGTTCTTTTTGACTTTTTGTTTTGTCCAAAGAGGTTTTGGTTTAAGACTAAAGCATTTGAAGAACGATCTTTATTATTTGAGTGTAAACTTTTTGTTTTTGGTTTGGACTTTTACTTGTGATATGGCTTTCATTTTGGACAAATGTGAAATAACAGGTAGAGGGCCGTAGAAGTCTTCTTCTAAGACACTTAAGTTGTGATTGGATGAAAAGTGGACAATCAACATGAGAAGCCTGTAAAATATAGAAATTTATAATCACGATATTACCATATTGTGCTTTTTCTTTTGTGGGTTATTAGCTATGTTTACTATGTAAGGTTATTCTATATATTACAGCGTAGAGTTTCAGTAAAATGAAAGATAATATTTGTTTGAAGTGGAGGCATTTTGTTAAGGAACTTGGCCGACCAACTGAACTCAAAAGCCACCAGAAAGCTACAATGGGTATTTGAAGTCCATGTGGTGCCTTTTGATACTAATTTCTGTTTCATTGTTCTGTGGCCCCTTTTCATGATCTGTAAAGGCATCCGATATTTTGCTAAACTGATTCGACTGCAGGTGATTATTGGTGGAGGTGGTGGAGGTGGAGGTGTTGCTTTTGCTGCAGCTCCTGCAGGTGGAGGTGGAGCCCCAGCTGCTGAAGCACCTCCAGCTGAGGAGAAGAAGGAAGAGAAAGAGGAGAGTGAAGATGAAGATATGGGTTTCTCACTTTTTGATTAGTGAATCATCTATATACAATGCTTTCTTATTTACCAAGTTTTGAATGTGTCGGCCAACTTTGATAGGGGTTGAATGTTGGCTTTTCATCAGTCAAGTATGAATCTTGTGGTGGTCTTTATGATCTCTAGTAGACAACTCACATTTTTGTGGTTTTTAAAACTGTGTTTGAACTTGGCTTTTGCTATATCTAATATGAGCTAGTGTTTGCATGTTATCTTTTCTAATTATTGAATGTTCTAAATTACAATATATCCCAAAAGTTTGTTTAAACTATGAATGGACTCTTGTGGTTTACAAAATTATAAATATTCTTGTCAGGATTTTTTACCTAGGTCTGAAAGTTAAAATTTAATTTTTTTTGTCCATAGGTTTAAGCTCTAAAATACTATTACAAAATGATTATACTACCCATGTCTATATATAAACCAAATCTTGACCGATTGCATCGTCTTCTCGCGCTCTCTCCTCACTCTCTCTAAAATCCTTTCATCTCTCGCCAGCTCTGTCGTCGTAGCCCACACCTACCATTACCGTCAAGAGTCCATCATCTCCTCCTTCCGATCAGAGCCGACAACCTCACCACTGATGATCTCACTGCTATTAGCTACACCAATCTCTCTCTACTTTCTCTCTCTAGATCCATGGTTGATCCACACCGATTTGCCATTGGCACCACTACCTCTGTTGTCGTTGATTTGGACTCTCTCTCTCTCTCTCTTCCCTGCATTACCACCTTCGATACAGATATAGGTCCACTGCTTTCGATCCAGATCCTCCACCACCGCCGACCATAAGATCTCATCTTGTTCTCTCTCTTTGCTACACCAAATTCTAGAGAGAGAGAGGGGTTCACACACTGAGCATGGAGAACTTAGAGAGATTTTGCGGAGATAGGGAGAGTGTCGCAATGGCTGACATCAACAGTGCCTGCGGTGAGTTGGTTCATGGAGGTCAGTTTATAAAGCACAACATAGGTGGCCATATCTTCGAGGTCACGGCCGAGTATCGGCCACCGATCATGCCTTTCGGTTGTGGTAGTGCTTATGGAATTGTCTGGTAATTAATCCATTTAGTCTTTTTTCTTTTTTTTCCTTTTCTTTTTCTTTTTCTTTTGGTTTGATTTTGTTTTAATTTTGGTGGATTTGAGTGGTTTTAGTGTGTGAAATGGTGTGTGTTTTAGTATGAAGCTCGATGTTGAATTCAGAGAAGAACGAGATGATTGCAATAACAAGATTGCCGATGATTTTGATAATTACACGGACGCAAAGCGTACGCTTAGGGAAATTAAGCTTCTTTGACACCGATTTGATGCCATCGTCGACTCTTCTTCATTTCATTTCTTACTACATTCAATATATATATATATATATGTATATACATATAAATTTATTTATTAATTAATTATAGGATAAACTATCAATATGTCTTAATAGGTTGATTTAATTCTTATCAAGTCATATTAAGTATAAGTCCTAATAAAATTGTTGTTAAAAATAATTTTTGTGATGATTTTTTGTTTATGTTGCTAAAAATTAACTATTAGTGACATTTTTTGTCACAGTTTTATAAATTGTTATTAAAACTTACAATTAATGATTTCTTTTTTGACAAAATTTTCAAATTGTTAATGAAAATTGAAAATTTTTGACTTTTTTTGCGACTTTTTAAATGGTCGCTAAAATTTATAATTAGTGATATTGTAATAATTTTTAAACTGTCGTTAAAAATTAATAATTAATAGCTTTTTAAATAGTGTTTAATGAAAAAAAAGCTATTAATTTTTACTGAATTCATTGGACAATAAGTCCACCTATTAGGACTTATATGTAAGTTCTAATTATATATATATATGCATGTTAGTTTATTTATTCTACTGTAGCATCAGTAAACTTGGCGTTTGAATCTTCTCATGGTTTTGTTATTCCACTTGCAAATTCAGATTCAATAGATGCAAAATTGGATCTGGTTAGTTACTACGAGATGCGAGATTCAAAACCATGTCAGGTACAAAAAGGTTTGAAATTGAGTCTGAGTAGTGCCATGAGCACTCAAGCTCATGTTGAGCACAATCCATCTCTCTCTCTCTCTCTCTCTCTCTCTCTCTCTCTCTCTCTCTCTCTCTCTCTCTCTCTGTGTTGAGTGCTCATGTTGAAATCATCATGAACAACAATAGAAACAACGACTCTCTCATTCTCCTCATCTCTCTTTCTCACTCTATTTGTAGGGAAGACACACACACACAGAGAGAGAGATGGATTGTGCTCAACATGTCTCAAGCTCATGTTGAGCACAATCCATCTCTCTCTCTCTGTGTGTCTTCCCTATAGATAGAGTGAGAAAGAGAGATGAGGAGAATGAGAGAGTTGTTGTTTCTGTTGTTGTTCATGATGATTTCAACAGATGGATTTTCAATAGAGATTTTTTCAATAGATAAAGAGAGAAAAGTAAAGTGAAAAGAGAAACAGATAGAGAGAGAAAAGTTTGAAAATGGTGTGAATTTGAATAGATAGAAAAAAGAGGTTATAAAAGTTAATAGATAAGTTAAAAAATCAATAGATAGTCAAAATTTTTGAATAGATAGATATAAATTTGAATATATATTAAAAAAAAGTTAATAGGTAAAAAAAAATCAACAGATAAATTAAAGTGTAAAATTGAAAACAAAATGTACTCCCAAAATAATAAAAGGACTTTTCACCAAATTACTTCATAAAGTGTGAACCTCTCACTAACAAAAAATATTCATTAGACCCAATGCGTTATATCTTCTTTAGATTGGATTTATCAACAATTTTTCAATTTCTACCTGTTCTCTTATACAATAATAAAATTATCTGAATTATTAATTGAAATAAAATTTTGATATCATTAAAACCTATTAATTGATTTGATGATTTATTAATAAAATTTTTCAATTGTTATGAAATTTGAAACGTCACGGGTAAGATGTAATTTTTAAAATTGTAAGAGATAATTTGTATTTTAAGTAAATTTTAGGAATGTATTTATAATTTACTGTTTTAGACTTTAGACTAAAACAGTAAATTGAAACTTCTAAGAGCAACTCCAAGGGAAGAGGTAAAATGAGACTGTTAGCTATTTTAGCTCGTATGACCCTAATATTTTCACTCCAATGGGCTGGCTAAATGGCTTCCTATTTTCCCTCGCGGCTTCTCCTCTGGCTTCAATTGGAGAGTGATTGAAGGCTCTCCAAACTCTTCTCTCCCGCGAAATTGATCTGCTCACGTCTCTCTCGCGAAATCGATATGCTTCTTCAGCGCGAAATCGATCTCCAAACATGTCTCTTTCGTGAAAACGATCTGCTCCTTCAGTGCGAAATCGATCTTCTCCTTCAACGTTGTCTGCAACTCCCTCCATCGACCTCTTCTTCAAGGTATGGATTCTTTTATCTCTCTGTCTTCCCCTTCTATGCAACTCATAAACCCTCTTTCTCTCTCTCTCTCTCTCTCTCTATATATATATATATATATGTATAGCACAAACTTTCCTTGTTCCTCTGTAATCTAGGTCTCTCCCATTTTCTTGGTTTTACGAATCTGCATACAATTTATGTGTGTATTGTCTATCTGATCTGTGAGTTCAAGCATACCTTGATACTTCACTGTTCTATTTTTGTGTTTTGAGTTTTTGTGTTGCCAATGATTTTACAAGATAGACCTTAATTCTACATATTCTAAGAATATTATAATGGGTTTACTCACATTCTGGCATTTTATTTGATATTGCCTAGGATATATAGGAAGAACGGCTACCATAGAGATACTATTACTTTACATTATTTTTTATAATATTTTTAAAACTAATATTAAAAAATATTATTTTTAAAAATATTATCGCAAATGTCACATTGGCAACCATATTAGCGTTTGGTGCGTATGTGGCATTTTATGAAAAAGATAGTAATATATATAGCATTTTTTGTTTTGAAAATTGGTTTAGTTAGTTTGAATGGCTAGTTAAAATAAAGAGTATGATTGGAACATACAATAGCTAAACTAATTATGTAAAATAAAGAGTGTCCTTTTTTTATACTTTAACTAGTGAAAAATAAAGAGTGTGGTTGGAGTTGCTCTAATATGATATTTGTTTGAGCTCTTCATTCATTCAAACAAAAGAAAGAGGATCTGGCCCCCGGGCTCCTCTCTTTCTTCTATCCCTTTGTTTCTTCTTTTGTCTATGATTTTCTACAAATAAGTTTGGAAGATTTTCTTTCCATTCCTCTCCCTCCTAGTGAGGTGTGGTTCTAATGGAGTTGCCTTCAATCTCTTTTTCAGCCTTTTTCAGGCATCGTCACTGTTGTTGCCACTAGATTTGCCGTCTCCTCGTCTCCATGGTCCCACCTGCTTCAGATCTAGCTCCACGATTTCTCCGCTTCTTTGCTCCACCAGATCTGCCCCGGTCACTGGTGTTATTGTCGTCTCTCTGCAGGTCTGAGGTCTGAAGGTAGCTTGGTTTGTTTTGTTTTTGGTGTTTGGTTGTGTGATTGAGTTTTCATCGATATTTATTTGTTGCTTACCCATCTCTATGAATGTAGCCTATAATTTTTTCTTCGACTCACCCTATTGTCAAACTCTTATAATCGACTTTGCTTTATAGTACGGGCTTAGTGTTGCATTTTTCTCATAGCTAGTCCTTCGTGCTTTTGTTTGATTGTTTTTTTCTTAGTTTGTAGCAAGTTTTTTGTTGGATGGATTCTTTCTAAATGCCGTTTGGCTTTTATACTTTAATGAAAATTTCTATTGATCATAAAAAAGTAAAAAAAAGAAAAAGAAAGGGGATAAAAGAATTTCCCCAAAAAATTTTAATATAACAATTGGAAAAATTGAAAATGAATAAGTATTTTTTGAACAAATAATTTATAGAATTTATTTTTTCCATATTTTATTCTCCAAATAGACTACTGGATCTGGAGTGTGTGTGCTTGTTTTTTTAATAATATATATTAAAAAAACTTTCCAATACATATGAAAAATAGAAGCTATGGGCACATGTTAATTTTTGCTCTCCAAAAGAGTAATGTTAGGATAATTAAATTTTGAATAATGCTTGGGACCCCTTTTTGGGGGTCACCCCCTCACCCCCTTTACCATGTGGTGGGTGGTGATTGGAAGAGCAGGAAAAAAAAGAAAAAGAAAAAGAAAAGGTAACCAATGAGAGAGAGAGAGGGTCAAAGGGGGTGGGGAAAAAAGGGGGGATGAATCATTGTTAAATTTTTGAATCAAATTCTTTTAATGTTGGGAATGGTTCTTTTCATACCACTATTCTTTTTTATTATTTTATATGTCATTATGTGGACCGTATTTTGGGTTTATAATAGGGGTATAATTTGGGCAGGCTCAACTCGAGCAATCCGAGTTCAGCTCAAATTTTTTTAGGGCTCATACAATATATTTTAAAATTCGGTATAGGATTGGACAAAAATTCAGGAATTCAAATTAAATTTGGGCGAGTTTGGAAAAAGGCATTAAATAATCCGAATAACCCGAAACTCAAATTATACATATATAGATATATAAAATATAAAATATACATATAAATTATTAGTCATTATATGATATTAAAGTAATTTAGATCATTAGATCATATTAAATATATTATATATACAAGTAAAATAAAATCTTAAAAACACTAAAATTCATGCACAATTTGTGTAACTCGGGTAATTCGGGTTTAACTCGGATCGGGTTTGGGCAAATAACTTTGGGTTACAATTCAAGTTTGGACAAACCTGAGCAGGTTTCAAAACAACTTGGGTTAGGTTTGGACAATCTCTTAACCCGCCCAAACTCACCTGAGTTACACCCCTAGTTTATAATGATGATGCAAATCATTTATTTTATAAATCTCTTAGTTAAACTGTGTAAAAAATTAGCATCATTAGATATCAATGAATGGATGAATAAATTGCATTTTACCTTATAAAATGGACAGTTTAAGTATAGAGCTTTTTTTGTTCATTTTATATATATATATATAATTTGTTCATGTCCAATGATGTTTTTTATTTTTTATTTTTTGAATAGGTCTAGTGATATTTGATTAAATTGATTTATTGCACAACTCATCTTTTCAATACTGGGTTTACTAAATGAATAGTTCAAATTATTGATGTGGACCTAGGATGAGGCTCATGAAACAAAGTATGGAGTGATATGAGGGCTAGTGATATGGAGAAGACTCATTTACTAATTCTAGTTGTGTTTATTTTTTCTATACTTGTTTTTATCTCGTCTTTTTAAAAATAGAAAAAATAATGAAAAGTCCCAAAACATCATTCGTTTCTTAATTATTTTTATTTTTATGCAAAAAATTAAGTTTAGCTTTTTTTTAAAAGTGAATTATTAAAAAAAATTTAAAAATGATTTTTGAAAACTGCATTAGTAGCCCAATTCAACTCTAAACAGTTGATTCTAAATGAAGATAAAAAATTCTAGTATTTGGGCCGGATCTGTTTGCATATTTTAAATCCACATTTTGGGTTGGTCCATGTTGTTAAAGTCCATGACACACATATAACTCTAAACAGTTGATTCTAAAAAACATAAAAAAAAAATTCTTGTATTTGGGCCGGATTGGTTTGCATATTTTAAAGGGGAGTTATGGGCCAGTCTTTTGGACCGGACTTAATTCTCAAGAAGTCTTGACCCAAAATAATGTAGCTCATCTTTCATTTTTATCCCTTACATTCAGTTGAGTGATTTTACCCTAAACTCAAACACATCCCTCTCTCTCTCTCTCTTCTATTTCTGTCACTAGCATACCATCTCCTTCTCCTCCATCACCATATATGTGGCTTGGCTCAACCACCATCTTCATCTATCATTGCCAACAACACTCGTCTCAACCAACGTCGTCATTCTCCTCCTCCCTCACCTAACACCACCATCATTCTCTGTTGTTGCCCTCTCCGCTGCTCTTTTCCCATCATTCATCTGCTAGCTTCAACATTGCAATCCTCCATCATCGATCTACCATCTTCGATATCGTTATTGTCACCATCTTCCTCCATCACCGATCTACCATTTTCAACATCGTCGTTGCCACCATCTTCTTCCATCATCGGTTTGGGATTCAAACTATCCAATCAACGCATTGAAAGGTGTTGTAGATCTTCTACAGACGTGTAATTGATCTGATAAATTTGTTACTTAATTTAGTGATAAATTTATCACTTAGTAATTTATAAATGATAAATTTATCAGATTATAGATTTGTAGGTGTAAGTGTTGGTATTTTATCAATGGAATGACAGAACACATACAAAATAAATAAATTTATCAATGCTTCATAATAGAATGCTGTGATGCCCCCCTCTCTCTCAAATCAAGTTTGCTAACAAATTCAATAGTGATAAATTTATCACTGCAACTTTGGCTAAGATTTGTTGCATGATAAATTTATTATTGAATCTGACTTTTTATTCTTTGTCTTGATTTGTGACAACGTAAAATGATGAGAATTATTCTCTGGTAATGGCTTCTTATCTCTCTCCTTCATTCTTTTCATTTCCCCCCATTTTTTTCTCTTATCGCCACCGGAGCTAAGTAGATAGTTGTGGTAGTGACGTGTTGGAGATCAAAAATGGCCAAAAAAAATATTGCTGGAGGTCGAAGGTAGTTGCCGGAGGTCAGTAATGGTCACGAAAGGTCAGAGGTGGTCACTGGGTGTCGGAAGTGGTGGTTGGTGGCCAAATCGTGGTTCGCAATTTGGAGTACAAAAACAAAACGAGAAACTAGAAAATATATATATATATATATATATATATATATATATAAAACAAAACAAAATAGGGGTAAAATGAGAAAAAAAATTATAATAAGACTTAATGGTGCATAAAAATATAAGATAGTGCCTAATAGGTAATAACTCAAAAAAGCAGGACCAATTGGTACCCTATTTGGAATCCACATTTTGGGTTGGTCCATATTGTTAAAGTCCATGAAACACATATAAATCTAAACAGTTGATTCTACCAAACAAAAAAAAAATCTTGTATTTGGGCCGGATCTTCTTGCATATTTTAAAGGGAGATTCTATTTGAACCCAAAATATGTTTCAGTATGCACAATTTAAATTCATAATTTTTAATTCATATTATATCATAACACGAATTTACTAATAAGGGCAACACATATTAAACCCTAAAATGATTTTTTTTCTTCTCATGGTATATCATAATCTGTTATTCTTATTCAAATCTCTGTATCTTCTTCTTGAAAGGATCAAAGTTTTTTCTTCTTCTTCTTTTTCTTTTTCTTCTTCTTCTTTCTCCCTCCAAAACTCTAATCCACCATATCAAAGGTAACCATCATCATCAATATTATTATTTTTTTATTATTTTCAAACCCCAAACCCTAGAAAAAAGTTTGAACAAAATCAAATAATGGATAAGAGTAATAATCAAAATAGTTTTTTGAAGCAATCTATCAAAAAAGAGGTAAGTACTCATATAAAGGGGTTTCATAATTTTTGTAGAGTACCATCAATTATTTTCTATATCGTTTTTTTGACAAAAATTAAAGGGTCTAGTAGTTAAATTAACAATAACATATTATTGGAGTTGTTCTTATTTTATCATTTAAATAATACATTATTTGAGAACTACTTTTTCTTGTTAGTACCGGATGCTTATGTGCTTATAAGTTTGATTTTTACTTTTCCATGAGCATTCTTGTGGATAATATATATAACAACCCCGCTAGGTAGCTCGAGAAATTGGTGGCCCGAATGGCTCGAGGGGTCGAAACGACGTCGTTTTGACCCCCTTTTTTTTTTTCAACTCCTTCATCTTCTTCATCTTCTGTCGTTTTGACCCTTTTTTTTTTTCAACTCCTTCATCTTCTTCATCTTCTCATCCCATTCATAGTTGCTTGCAGAGTAGAGAGACCCCAGATCCATGAGGGAAGAAAAAAAGAAAAGAAAAGAAAAAAATAGAGATGATCTGAGGCCTCTCTCTGTTTGGTTAGCAAGAAAATGTTGGACAATCTTCACTGTATTTAAAAAGATTAAATTTTGTTGTGTATAAAACAACAACAAGAATATAAAGAAATAAAGAAAAGGAGAGAATTTGTTTGATTACAAAAATCAAACTCGAAATAAAAATAAATAAATAAAACCACAGATTTTATTTTGTTACAAAAACAAAAATAAAATCTGATTAAATAAACAAATAAAAACAGAATAAAATTAAACAACTTACTTGGTTAATTTATTTGAATAACTTTTCTGATCAAGTCCAGTGTTTAACACTGTGTCCTTAAGACAGATTCGTCCTCTCCACGGTGCTTTCAAAATTTGGACGTCTATCTCCCAGGATGAAATGATCTACCACAAACAATAGCAGCACTACAAATTGTTTGCCTTACGAACACACTAAGTGTTTATACTCTCTCTGACAAGAAAATAATGCAGCAAAATGAAGAGGAAGTTTGCAGAATTATGAAGAACGAAAATTAGAGTTACAAAATCCAAATGAGGGTGGTCAATGAAGAACTGTCGGCCATTGGTGTACTGTAACACCAAACTACAACAGAGCACAAAACAAAGAAAAAGGGAGGTTTTCCAGGGACATGTTTGTACTATGCCAGTCCTTATCATCTCAAAACATCAAAGGAGTAGAACCATT